GCGGTTCGTTTTATGCCGGGCTTGTGCTACTCTTTTAGGAGTCAGTGCGTGTTATCATAAAGGGGTTCTTCTGTTTTGGCACTTGTCAGACTGGAATGCGCAACCATTTTTCCTCGTCGCATTCATTTGTCACCAAAGCTAGAATTCATTTTCTCGCGAACAGTGTTACATGTACTTCGAATTTGAACATAAAACGAAGCCGAAATATTCTATAACAACAACTAATACTGAATACTACAATACTTGATCGTTTTCCATAAAACTATTAGATGCGAGTAAATGTTTGTATGAAGTGTCAGGGTAGAGTTAACCTTGCTCTGACCTAGGGTTAAATTAACCCTGATGAATCACGTAAGTTTAACCCTCCAGGGTTAGTTTAACCCTCACGATTCGTTGATAAATACGGGTTAATCGCTTTCGGGGTAAAATTAACCCTCAAGGTTAGATTTAACCCTCAGGGTTGAGCCTACCCTGTGTTTCATGAATACGGGTTAGACGCTTTCCAGGGTTAAATTAACCCTCCAGGGTTAGTTTAACCCTCGGGGTTTGTTGATGAATACGACCACAGATTGGTATAGGGTTTCAAATATCCAGATCCGACTAAGACACAGCCTATTTCTCAAGTTCGCGACTAAACATAACCCTCTTTGAAAATGATCATTGCGAGAGTAATAAATCGTGTTATAATCTACAAGTTCTTCACCATTCTATTCAATAGATATTGCTGCAGCAGCTGCGAGGGAGATTTCTTACTCCAAAATCGGTGAGTATTGTTTTTGCAACATTTATTTCGAAAAAGTATTGTTGTATCTGAAATGTAGCGGACTGGCACAAGCCCTGCTCATTGCGTAGCAAATGGCCTGCTGAACAGCAGTAGCAGCCTCGAATTTAAATGATGTTCACAAGAGATTTTTGCAAGAAATTTGAAGGAATCCATCTATTTGCTATTTCCAAAATGGCAAACTGTATTTTTGAGATAGACAATTTTATTACACAAGGAAAGACTGGAAAGTAGAAAGGTTTTTCCTCGTTTTACTATATGGAGCGTACTAAGCGCATTGTTAGTTGCAACGACAAGTCACGTTCAAGTCGAGAATTTTTAGGTTCAAACTTTCTCGAGAATCTTACATTGCAAAGCATTGTGCAGCACAATTTCACGCCGATATACCCATGTTTTTTAAAAGATTGCATGTTTTGCCAGTTAAGAACGAGGAAAAAAGCAATGAGAAGGAATTCCACACTCGCTTTCTTTCCATGTAAGGTATGGAACCGCAGAATGAACACTCAGTAAAAACGAGAACATGCATGAAAACTACAAAGTAATTCATATTGATTTAAGCAGCCATTTAAGAATCAAATTTTTACCAACACTCGGCAAAGTTGCAAAAAAAAACTGGTGGAACTGTACACTAACCCAATGATTTCTGTACTGGTCTTTGATTAGAAAAAATATAAGTAGAATAGAATGGAAAGGAAAAAATTTCATTCAAAAAATATACGAAGGAGAAAATAGAAGAATAAAACGAAATGTTAATAGTGATCTGAGTTCTCTCGAAATTTAACCTGCAGTAAGTAGGTGCTTCACAAGACAGCAGTGAACAATCACCTTTTAGACGAAATAAGTGCTTGTACAGGGTGCGGCAAAAGTCTGGGAGCCTAGTACTTTTTCGTACAAAACGAGAATGGAAGTACCTAGAAACGAAAAATTTGGCGCACACATAATTCGAACCATTGCAGATGCAGCCCAGTTCTTGAATTGCAAAACTGCCTCTTTTGGCTTCCACGAAGCCCTACAAAATCTTGGCAAGTCCACCTGTCATGGCACGCAGGTAGTCGTAATGGAATTCGCCCCACGCCTTCACAATAACTGCTTCTTTTACCTTGGCAAATGCGCAGCGTGATAAATCAAACTTTTGTCTACAGCATACTTCCAAAAGAATTTTTTGCGTTGCTTAGGAATAAAAATATTGGATTTTCAATTAGAAGCATGTGTAAGTCGCATACCGGAATTTTGGCTACAATTGCGCGAATAAAAACTTAAAAATATTGTTTAAAAAGTATAAAAAGTGTTCCCATGGCCGAATTTCAATAGATTCTAGTTTAGAAGACGTATGCAAAAAATACAGCCTTGGTCCCAGCGCCTGTTGAGCATTCTATAGCTTTCAAATTTGTTCTGAAGACGGATTTCCACTGGCACGTAGGTAACATTCGCAAACTTTTATTTTCTGTTTAGGCAAGAACAGCTCCTGGCAAAAGCAAAATTAGGATACAATAGCGCAAAGCCTCTTCTATGTTGCGCATATCGAAGTTTTGTAAAATATTAACAGCATCTCTAGTTACAGCAAAAATTGTAAATACCAAAAATTCTGGTCTTTTCGCTTTGCAGAAGTACTAGTTTGGTAATTTCCATTCTTACAACATATGGCAGCCATTTCCACAAATTAAAGTGTATTCTGTAGAGGATGACCGCAGCATCATGTGGCATAAAATTGAAATCAAAACCATCAGTATCTTTGTAATTGCAGTACTGCAAAGTTAGGCTCCCAGACTTTTGCCGCACCCTGTATAATATATGCAATCAATTAGTGTGGGAAATAACGAAAGGAAAATAAGATTATTTATTGCCTTGAATAAAAATTTGTTGTAAATCCAGACTTCCGGTCCACTTGTTCCAGCTCTCGTACTTGACTCGCCGACAGTAAGTGCCAAGCCCAGATGCAGAATAAGTTTTCCATACAGGAGCCAGCGATTAAGTTTCTGATCCCAGAGCCTACAATGCCGACGTTTTTCTTCGAATTAGAACATGAATGTTTCGGAAAGACCGCCACTGTTTAATCTCTGATTTAGAAATAATATTGTTGCAATTTGATGAGCACTTACAGGGGGGGAGGGGCTTATAAAGTTTCTGACTTCAAGGACTTCAACTGCAAATTCTAACTCGATTTTTGCTATGTGTGTTCGTCAAACCTAGAAACAACTAAATCAACAAATAAAAAACTTTTCTGCCAGAAGACAGCCTAAAAATTTGGAAATAAACCGTTTTTTTAGCTTCCTTAAAGAGGCGGAAGAGTTCGTTATCTGATTTCTTCTCTTTTCAAAACGTCGAAAAACGGCAACAACTTTTCGTTTCTATACTACAAATAGTCCTAATTTCACACCTTCATTATATAACAAAAATTGTTCAGTAGCTTGCGAAGAAAGTTTCTTTCGTATGCTACTTTACGGCAGACAATAGCTTCACAAGTTTGCGGTGAAATTGTTACAGCTTCGGAAATTCTGGAAGTCTTAATTCAACATTTATTTGTAGCACAACTCTCCGGACTTCGTTGTAATCTTTTTCAAAAATTTTGCACGCTTGTAAAGGTTTTGAACTTACAATATAAAGATTTTAGGTGCTGGTTTTTTTTAGGAAAAAAATCCGAGACTGGATCCTTTGCCTTTCAAGCGCGACATTTCAAAACAAACTTACTTCTTCGAAATCAAAGCACAAGTAAGAAACCTTGAAGAAAGAACTTTCAAAAGGTGTACCAAATTTTTTGTGAATTATGTTTTCTTCTTTGTAACAAAATTTTGAGGAAAGGGGTTTGAAAAGCTATATTGATGTGTTTCAATCTAATAAAAAAACATAGAAACCACAAAGAAACCTGAACCTTAGTGAAATCATAGTACCTAAGCCTGATGAGCACAATAAAATAAAAAGCTCCTCAGAATTGGAATGGAAGTACTTTAGGCCAGGTACTTTCCAAACACCCTGTACTTGGGCAGATTCCTTGCGTAAGATGGTGAATTGATGTATCGGTTATGATGATTTGAATTGCATCTTATATCTATCAGAGTTGTAACAGCACATTTGATGATCAAAAAGCATTGCTTGGTACAAAGCGGTCCTTTCATATCAAATGAAATTTCAATTTGAAATTTATTTCATCATCTGCGTTGATCCGCCGTACATAGTTGTTCCAGGGTGATGAGCTTATGCAATAAACTGATCTGTGACAGCAAAAATCTGCCTGCAGAGATACACTTGCACTCAGTGCATTGCATTAGTATCAAAAGGGTGTGAAGCCATTGTCCGGATGAACTTCGGACGAATTGCAAAAAGATCAAAAACTTTCAGCTTTGTGGCAGGTGTACAAGCGGAAACATGAGCATCTCGTTTGATCAGCGACACTTCGCGACTATCTGAATGGAGGCGAGAAGATACATAAGCATGGATTAGAGCCTAACAAAGCAGGTGTTAATTCGTTTTTGCTTTTTCCAATTCACTGTTGACTGAAATCCTCGATTTATAGTAGTCGAAATAACAAATACGGAAATCGTGTCATTTTTTTCCATCAAACACACCTGTTACCCTTCTATAGTCACTTACAGACCTAGATTAGCTCTACTCAAGCACCAATAATTTGAGAATAATTGCCTAATGTTAGTTACTCAAAGATTACTGTACATCAAAAAATGCATGTGCTAGATTGGCTCGAGAGTTCTCGGACATTGCATTCAGACAAACTTCTTGTTCAGAGATAAGCACTGGTAGGGGCATGCTGCACATTGTTGGATAGAGAAAAGTAATCTCTACGAAACTATGGTAACCACAGGCACTATCAATGTTTTTAATGAAAATTCAGGCGAAATTAAACAAGAGGATTTTGACTTAAACCAGAACTCCAACTTCTATAAACGTTATGAAACCTCCACATGCTCCAATCTATAGTATACACATATCTACATAATGCAATACGTAGTTTGTATAAATTTGAGCTTGAACAATAAGTAAGACGAGGTAATGGAAAAGTGGCAAACTCCGCCCTCATTTAAGCTCCTCCCACCTTGCTTAGATATCAGCTACGGGCGAGAGGAAGTATAACTGCAAATTTGCAAAAATGTACCTACATGCATCAGGTTTCGGGAAATAGCAAATCTATTCTATAAATTTCCGAGAATTTTTGCGACAACCTGATAGGTTATAGAGAAAAAATCATGCTCTTTTTTACAGGTAAAAAATGCTGGTTGTCCTCGTCGTCGTTGCCGGTCTTGCTACATTTTCCAATGCCGACTTTCTCGACTTCAACTGCACCGAATACGATACCGCCAATTCGAAATTTGTGGTATGACAGAGACTCATAAAATTTAGAAATTTTTTATAAGACAAGTCCTGATGGCTTTGTTTCAGCTCACACCTGCTGCTACAGTTTGTGATAATAAATATTCCGCAGAAGCTTGTGCAGCACTTTTCGGAACTGCTGTTGCGGCCGGTGCTGATGCGCGAGACCCACTATGCGATTCGGTGAGATTTGAATTTTTCGAAAAACAATTCACGCTTTATGATTCTGTATTAGATAAGCGATGCCTTTAACGAGGATGTAAAAGCACTGGCTGCTGCTTCTTGTCCTAAGCATTGCGGTTACTGCTGTCAGTCTCCGGAATATAATTGCGCAAACAAGCAGTGTACGTTGTCTCCTTTTAGCATTCCAAAGTCTGAAAAATCTAATCGAATAATTTTAGTCCCAAGAACGAAATGCGAAACCGTCAAACCCGTGCAATGCAAAGATCCCAAATGGCGTCAGATTTTGGCCGAAGACTGTCCTAATGTTTGTGGATTTTGCCTTGAAGGTATTAATTTTCTGGCTAGAAATTATCGTGTAGCTATGCATTTTGCCAAAAAATTTAATTTTGCTTAGGCGGTTGCGTAGACGCAGCGATTGAATGTGCCAACGATATCTCCATTTGCAGAAACATCGACATGCAAGATTTTGTAAAGGTAGTCATGTGTATGACTTTACAACGTACAGGATGAGAGGGACTAAAAATGTTTTTGTTATGAAAAATTTATGAAAAAAACCCCATCCGCAGAAACACTGACATGCAGACATTTGTGAAGGTATTAGTAGTTTAGAACAATACTAGGCTAAAAAGCTTTCGTTGTGAAAAATAAAAAAACAAACACACATATTGTTCTCAATTTTTGGTTATGTTCCTGCGTTTGATCAACCGTGCCAAAATTTGCTCTTTGATTTTGGTTACGTAAAAATTACTAAAAACGTTTTTTCCTTCAATTTCAACAATAATACCAACCCGGAAACTCTAGCAGGCAAATGAACCTCTTTATATGATTGAGTTTGTTTTCTATTGGGTCATTATGTGCACTAACGAGAAGTAATTTGATTATTTCAAATCCAATCATTAAATGCTTTTAATGGGTATTACAATTTAGGAGAATTGTCAGAAATCCTGTGGCTACTGTCCTACATCTACTACTCTTGGTACTGGATCTGGATCAGTAACAAAAGGTAAGCGTTGTACCTGTCTAATCGAAAAAAAATTTTAATCGATTTTATGAAACATTCTTGCAGCACCTACATGTGGTGCGACTAACGACGCCAATGCAAAGTATGTTTTTTACCTGATAACAGCCATTAATATTATATATAATCTTTTGATAATTTCAGCTGCGCCTCATGGGTAAAGAACGGATTTTGCGCAAATGAGTTCTACACCAAGGATCAAAGAATTGCTTCCTGTGGCAAATCTTGCTCCAACCTTTGTTAAAGGCTGCATTCAACCCACATTCATGACGACACGACGCAACACGACCGCATATTAGAAAATCAAAGCGCTAATGTTTTGGTGTGACCGACTAAAGCATAAATAAAGCGTTTTCGGAATAGTGTTGACACGGCGGTTCAATATGAAATTTGAAAGGAGAAAAACGTTGCAGAACAAAACTCATTCCATTTGTTAGCCTCTGCTATGTTGTGGAACAAGTGTGATATTGCAGAAGCTTTCTCAGGCTCGGGCTCCCATTTTCTCGCAAATACCGTTTTCTTTGATCACCGACAGCATCACACAGCGGATCTGGAACGACTACTCTGGGTATAGTTGACTGCACGAAATACCGGGCTAAATGCCCGTGAGTGTATCTTTTACCGGCCAACAGGCATTCGCGCGCATGAGTCATCTAGCGCCCGTACTCGGCAACCGCATTGCAGGCACGCTCGCATGCGTTCAGCTTACAGCGACAGGGCGACTTCGTGCAGTCGGCTTTGATACCGATTGTATGGTATAAGCGGGTGTAAAAGATGATTACATGATTACATATGTAAAAGAAAATAAGCTTCAGTAAGCGAGATTCCAAAGTTACATCTTCTTATATTAGGTTGTCCCGAAAGTTTTGTCGGTTTTTTCAAACCACTATAAAACCACGCACAATAAACACTCGAATGAGCTTCAACATGCAATCGATGCAGCTTTTCTTTCACTTTCTTACGATTACATTTTCCAACCATCATGTATGTTTTCTTGATATTTGTTACAATTCTTCACCCGTCATTTTTATCTGCCCAAATGGCACAAATAGAGAAATTCTCGTACTACAAGGCGATATTTTTAGATTCTCCTAAAATGCTGTTTTTAGCTTCAAAAAATTATTTCTTCGAAGGTCTCGATGTTTGGCAAAGTCATGAAACACACAACTGCAGCAAAAACATGGAAGCTCTCAAAATTTTTGCGAATTGAAACTTGATTTCTAATAAACAATAATTATGCAGCATTAAGTTTGATTTGCTTTGAAAAATCAGCTTTTTGAAATTTTCGGTAATTTTACATGGTAGACGTAATCAAAAAGCCGCGGTTTTTCTTGGATAAATAATTATAACGGACTTGATAAACGTGACGCATGTAATCTAAAGTAAACAATAAACAAGTGAACAGTAATGTTGCCAAAGATTTGCTCTACGTAATCGTTACTAGCGCTCTTCGGAAATTTCAGTATAAAAATTTTTAAAATTCAGGAAAGATTTGGCGTTAGTGCTGAACTGCTGAAAAAGCCATGGCAATAATATTGCAAAGACAGGGTGGACCAGAGAGCAAATACAGCAGTAAGAAAGAGTATAAAAATTTGAATTAAATGATACCTAGATCGTCCATGAATTGGTGTTCTTTGGGTTTTAGTGAGCGATGAAAAAAACCTAAACTTTCGGGACAACCTAGTATATAAAGCTAAATGTCTGTCTGTATGTATGTCTGTGTGTACGTATGTTCCGAATAGAAAATTCCATTTCTGAACCGATCCGGACCAAACTTGGCACACATACACATCGGGCCCCGGCGGGTGTCATAGGCTACTTTTCGTCATCGATGGGATTTTATCGATTTTTATCGATTTTTTGCAGAGTTCACCTACGGGGCTGAGAGTTGGCACAGGGGGGTAAGTGAGCATAGCGATTCCGAATATAATATTAGTTTCGAAACTATCAATTATCCCCATCGATCTTATCGATTTTTTGCAAGTTCAAGCTACAGAGCTGGGAAAGCCACAGGGGGTAATCGAGCATGCTGATTACTAAATCAGCGGGAATAGGGAAATGGCATGTAGCCATTGGCACAGGGAGAGGTTGTACAGGGATAGGAATGGGAGCTTAATCATAGCATATTAGCAGGGCCGGCGGAGCCGGGTAAGCCAGCTAGTCGGCTCATAATTTCTTCATAAACGCATTCACGGTAAGCGAGACGCTCGACGCTTGAATTAAATGACTGTACATCTGTGGATTTGAGAGCTGCGAACGGTGTAGTAACATCAAGTCTTAACTGTAGCCATTTTTGCTTTTGCGCGTGGTATGGCCTAAGTTTGACCATATCTTATGCGATTTTGCGGTGCAATTTGGCACTTTGCCAGATGTCTTTAAATCAATACTGGCACACCGCAACTGGATGGTTTGCATAGCTTTCGCAGACTGATAAAGACTGATAAAATGCCCTATCGTCTGCATATTCACAATGCGCGCATGATGAATGATCGATTATTGAGGCATTGTGAGATGCAGAGAATCTAAAATCGCGTGAGGTATGGGCGAGGCTTTGATGCCCAGAGGGATGGTGTCCAGATTAATGTTCCTGCAACGAGCTCCACCTGAATGGACTCATCGAGAAATTTTTCTTTGTTTGCACCCTTACCTTCTCCGCCCCCCCCCCCCACCTTTCAGCCCCTCAATTGTGTCTGTACGACACACTCCTCCCTTGAATCTGCACCTCCTCATGTTGAGTGAGTGATGCTGTCTTATTGGAAGAAACCACATTCTCTTTTAGAGTGGCTCACGCTTCTCAGAATTGAAGCTAATCTGAAGTGATGCTCCCTCCCAACCAGGCAAACTTACTCAGCTTTGCTAGGCAACTTCTATACGAGTTCATGTAAAGAGCTGTTGGAGCTTTTTGACATAGCTAAAATAATAATGGAAGAATTGTCATGAAGATTTGATTGCCTGCTCCAAGAAAACCTATATGGCTATATACGTAAGTACTTGCGCACCTCGAAGGAAGCTTTCCAAGCAGGGTCAAGCGTGTGATGCGACTGTCGCAACGGGGGGTCGTAAGGGGGCCTACGGTGAGGGGGGGGGGGGTCGTAAGAAGGGTTAGTTTGGATAAAAACCGTACGATTGAAAGCAAATCAAATAGCAAGTAATTATTACATGTTCTTAACAATAAATTCATGGATTGCCGTGTACCAAGTATCAAATAAAAACGAGTGAACAATCTCTTCATTCGCTGCACTTTTGAAAGATTATGACTTAGTTCTTTTTTTAAGGGGAATCGCTATTTCTTCCGCAAATTTTATCTCAAACGGTGATCGAACCCTGCTGGCATGACTAAAATCCAAAAAATAAACACTTTCAGAAGCTCAAATGCTACTAAGGCATATATGTGTGATAAAGATGTTGGATGTACCGATTGGTGTAGACATCCTGCTTCCGAAGGCTCACTGAAGACTCGCACACTCGACAAAAGCGCACATGTAGATCAACGATGACAATCAATAATTCGTAAATCTTTTTGTAATGCCATTTATGCGGCCCTTACAATTTATATGTACTTTAGATAAGCCCTGCTACTACTATGCGAAATCTGGTGTTATTTTATAAACTGCGAATTTTCTTATGATTTTATGTATGGTAGCAAAAAATGAGAAAAGGGGGGTCGTATCTGCGCCTGATCTAAATTTCTTCGGAGCTATTGAAGCTTGTTAGTTGCAAACTTGCTATAATACGAGGCCATCCCTCTAGTTTTTATCATAGGAATTTCAGGCTGTTTTATAACTTTTCTGGTAAGTTACAAAATTTTAAGCTCAAAAATCCAAATTTTTGCTTTTTAGGATCGCATCTAAATTTGCGAGAGCCTGATCTAAATTTTTTCGAGCTCACTGCTCCTCAAGGGCTGAAACTTTTTCTATGAATAGTCTGGGCACTATGCTACAGAACCTGTTCTTTGCAGCCTCTCAGTCTTTTCCTGGCCTTAGTTACGAATTTTCAAACTACCGTGCTCATGCATGTTTTTGACGTCGTTCTGGACGGCGCTAAAGCGGTTTTTTTCGCAGGAAAAACTGTGGAAGAGATAAGAACTGAGCTTCTTAGTCGAAAACATATTTTGTAGTTTAAGAATGTCATTTTGTTCTCCGTATAAAAATTTGTGTCGCATACGGGAATCGAATTTGCTGGCCTGAAGTATGACTGAAAATTCAAAAGTAAACTTGCAGAATCTTAAACATTATTGAAGTGTGTATATGTGCCGGAGATGCTGGGCGCACCCATTGGCCTAGAAATTCTGCTTCCGAAACCTCACTGAAGTTCTCACGCAGGTGTTTCTTGAGGTTGACATTCGTTCATGCAGGTTACCGCGAGAAATGTGGGCAGGGGAGGTAAGGGGGATAGATGGGGGAGGGGGAGGGGAAGGGGGGGGGGGTCGTACGGATGGGTACCTCAAGGGGGGGTCGTAAATGAGGGTCCAGGATCGCATCAACACGCTTGACCCTGTTTCCAAGCTCTTTCTAATGATTACTTGAATGTACAAAATTACCCATTTTGTATGAGAGAAACACGTTGTTCCAAAAAGTGCGATGCTTGGCGCAATTTTCAGGCTGACAATCATGCTTTGATCCAAACTTTTCTAAATGAAGTAAATTGTCAAGGTACTGATATAGCGTAAAAAGCTCTATCAGATAGCAACTGCCAGAGTGAGCTCATCTGATTACCTCGATGAGAGAATGTACAGGGTGTCCCAAAAAATGTATCAAACGTTTGGTTTATATCTCGCTTCTGAAGGAGTCTTTTGCCTTGCTTCAGGTACCGTTCTGTAGAGCTGGCTTCAACTTAGATTTGCAGTATAAAACGAATCACCCATCTCTCTTCATTACTATAGGATTACGGTAGAAACTTGAAACATATGGTGTCAATGTGGAAAAAGCTGTGGTCTCAAAACTTTTTGAAAAAATGTGAAAACTTGTGTAATAGGGTTTTTATAAACGCTGAGTTCAATCCTCAGCTATTCATAAGATTGCAAAGCTTTCTAAACTTTGTGACCGCACTTTTTAGTAACATTGAAAAAATGGTCGCTACCTCTTACCCGGCATAACTCTTCAATGAATCATCATAATAAGTTTGGAGCTTTACCGTTAGAATGAACAGCTCTAATCAGCCTAGTGTAAAAGCTTTCAGGCTGTCTTGTTTCCTTTCTGAGGCAAAATATGGCCTTTCATGGCTCAAAACCCTCTTTGAAGTTTTTACCGTAATCCTACAGTAATGAAGAGAGATGGGTGATTCGTTCTATAGTGCAAGTCTA